CATATGCAAGTAGTCCTTTTTCTCCTCTTCTTTTGATTTTTTTAGTGCTACTTTCTACCCCTTTTGGTAGTTGGTAAAGGGATGTGCCTTAAAATGCAGTCTGCCTTGTGGTAAGATTTGTGAATCTTTCTTCTCTTTCCAAACAGTTGCTTTATGGTGAGCAAAACATGCAGGATGGTAGTCCCTAAAAACAGTAATTTTGTCCTAGTCCTTTACCTTATCCTTTGCTGACTTTTGCAGTTCTAACATCAAAATGTCAGATTGGAAAGGGTCAGTCCTTTGATCCTGTTCAATTTTTAGAAAGATCAAGGTTACAGATTTTTTCCAGCTGCAGAAATGTGGCTACCTGTTGTCCAACAATTTATATAGACTCAGCTTGTTTAGGATACACTGCTGAGCAACCATCAAAGGTTAACTATTTTCCAGCATACCAATCTAACTGGATGCAAACCAACCACTTGATGAAAAATGCTCTGTATCCTGCTACTGTTTTTCTGAGTACTGCAGTCCATCTAATTTTATTTTAAAAATTCTTCCTGGAACTTACCTGTGCCAATACTGTTGTGTTTTTTCATATTTTGTTTTCTTTGGTACTGAATGCTTCAGAAAATGGATTAAGTAAAACATCCTTCTGTGCATGTGTGTGTGTGTGTGTGGTGTGTGTGTATGAAAAGGAATTGTGGGACAAGTAACGTAAATATTGTAAAGAAATGAGCCTGGTCATTGAAACACCACGGGAAAGAGGATTTGATTTTGCTAGAGCCAGAAGTTTCAAAGGGAAGGGCAGAAATGAACAGATTTGCAAGGCACTGCAGTATTTGAGATAAGACTACCACACAGTACTTGTTCTTAAGATTCAGACAGTGGTTTGAATGGCGTGTCTAATGTGGGCTTTTACAAAGACCTATGCCAAGAAGTATTAAATTAAGCAAATTAAAATGGAAATCCTTAATATTTACCTTATTCTTGGCAAAAGATGTTGCAGACATTTTCTTCTGGGAGAGATGTCAAGATTCATAACTGATTTCAAAAAGATGAAAACAAAATATGGGGACAGTAGTTGCATAACACCTAGAAGAGGTTTTATGTATAACTCACTAGTGTATTCTTGATGGTCTTGTTTACACAGTCAGATTGCTGTAACTTTATACGTGTATACGATATTTGATATATTTTATGTAGGTGGTAAGCAAGATTTTGAGCCAAATTCTTCAACATGAAGTCCAGATGTGTGGCAGACTGATAGCTTTCTAAGAAACCTGTGCATGAATCTTGTCAGCTTAGGCAGTATTCATTCTCCTCAGAAACAGGAGGCTGTGGTCACTCACCATCAGAAGATATGAACAGTGCAGTGGAATGTGCATTTCTGTGAAGATGGCAGATTCCAAAGTCTCCCTGGTTCAGTGTGGAACAGGACAGACACACTGTGCTGTGCATTCTTCCCTTTGCTTGGGAAGTGAAGACATAGAGACAGTCAGACATGGTTTTCTGCCATGTGTATTGAGACTTGATAGTCTGCTACATCGCAGGGGTAGCAATGTTCATGGGCTAGTGGGCTTGGCAATCTGCAGATGGAGCAAGTCTTCTGAAGTCTCATGAAAAGTTGTGAGGACAGAAGAAAATGAAGAACACACATATGCAGTCCTCCACCTGCCATTTTGTTCCTTTATTTTGATCCATCTTCTCTTCTTTCTCCTCTACTAGACATACCAGGTTCAGGCATTTCAATATCTGAAAACAGATGCCGTGCAGTGAGTGATGCAACCGGTTCCCAGGTGCTATAAGGTGTTCTGTCTAGTGTCCTAAAAATTGCAATAAAGATGCACAAAAGCAAAATTTCAGCAGGCATTTCAATGAAGACAACAAAAATACAACAAAAGCAAGTGTTCCTTGCTAAAGCCAAAATTTTTGCAGCTTTGCATTTTAGAAACATTCAGGCTCTGTTCTCCATCCCAAATTAATGGCCATAGGGAATCTAAAAAGGCTTTCTCAAACCCATTTACTTATCCCAAAGTAAATGAATAAATAAATAAGCAAATAAATATAATAATCTAACAAGCCACAGATGCTTAAACTTGCTTCAGCTGCAATTCAGAAAAATTCTTTGTGCTGCAGAGTGTTTCTGCATAGTCACTCTATTTCTCAGTGGCTGTTCTTGTGGTAGGGCTAGGCAAGTACTTTTCTCCTTAGGCCCTCTCTCAATTCTCCACTGTTTTATGTAAAAGAGTTTTAATGACTGTGCCTGGATAGCTCTTCTTTATCCAGCCAGACACCAGACTTCACAGAATAGTTCATGCTTTTGTTAAGTTGCTTTACAGCTTCTTCTCTAAGTCACTTCTCACTGGGCCTAACAAAACAAATTAAATGTGGAACTCCTAAGCCAAGTCAGCATTGCTTTTCCTCCCAGTAGTCAAAATTAAAAAATAATGCATCCAGATATTCTAAAAAGAGATTTTAAATATTTATGTATCAAAAAGTAAGTGTGCTGTAGTAATGTAATTCAGAACAGCTAAGAATTTAAACAATGGGACAATTATACATCATTGTACAACTACTAAAATAGAGCAGGGGACAAGTAAAGAAAGTGTTCAAAACATTTTTTTGTGATTTAGTATTTTTTACTTAAGCAGGTGGTAGTAAAAATCACTTTTTGACATGAATTGCCATTGCAGTTTAGTAAACAAAACTATATTATCATTTCAGGGGATTTTAAATTAGGTCTCTTTTCTGATAGCTGAATTATTTTATTTTATTTCATTTTCCATTGCATTCAAGAAGTACCATATTCCACAAGCATCCCTATAAAGAAGTTGTCCAGATTTTAATTTCCATTAAGACATCCTCTTTCTTTGTGGTTGTAAAGAAGCATTAAGAAGATCTGAACTTCAGATAATGTAACATCACCTCTTTTCACTTTTCATGTCAAACCAAAGGGAGGTAAGAAAATGAAAACTCCCAAAATGGAGTTACAGTCCAGTGTTTCTAAAGATTTCTCTCAGCAATCAGTAGAGACTATTTATTTTCATGGCATGTTGTTCAATAAGCCTTAATTAAAAATTAAGAGTATTTTCTTGTCATGGAACTACTGAGTAAGGTAGATGTTTGAATATTAACTCAGTGGTAGGCAATACTCTTGCAAATCACACTTTCCTAGTGTGTCAGTCCACATAACTCACAGAAGGAGTGAGCTGAAGGGCTGGATGTCTTTCAGAAAGATGCATGGGCAGGCTTTTTGTTGTGGGGGCGACATTCTGGCAAAATTAGCAAATCCAGTGACAGAATGTCTGCTTAGCTCATAAATCTCTAGAGAATTTTCAGGTTTAGCCTGGAGTGATGTTTATATGTATGTCAATGAACTTAAAATCAAAGCCCCTTGCCTGGCCTCCGGGAAAGGAAATGCATCATGAGAATAGGATACCTTCCAACTCTAAGGATTCCTTATAATTTTCGACTGAACACCTCCAGGTTAATACTGTAGCAACAAGACTCTCACAGTGGAATGTATTGAACAGTCCTTTCTTGATTAATGTTGTACCTCTTCAGGAAGGATATAAAGGTCAAGGTTAGAAGGACTAAAGTGATTTACTAGCAGAAATCTGTTAGGTATTTTGAAGGCTGTTATTCAAATGTCTGCTTTATTTCCAAACAAATGACTGAGCTTGGATTGGGTGATTTTGATTCCAAGGCTGTTGGAAAGGCGAGAGCAGCAGATTTGTTACTATTATTAAATAACTGAATAAATAAACTAGTTAAGGGCCTTTCTAGTCTAGATTGCAAATGTCAGGCCCTTAGACTTCCACAGTTGATAAATGCCTTAATGGCACATTCTATCTACCACTGCCTCTAAGAAGTGTGCCTCTGAGTGCCTCCATGCTATCAAAACAATCAGCATCTGGCTAAGTTTATTTCTAGTAATGTCTAAGGAAAATTGATTTCCACTCATTATAAAACAATTTACCCCTTAGCTGGGAGCAGATTTCATCAACTCAAAAATAATGAAATAGTGATGGCAGATTAACAGATTATTTTTAATTTATTCACTTTTAGTTTTCTAAAGAAGCAAATATGAGAAATTATAAAATTATTAGGTTCTTTTTTAGATGTTTGAATGCTTTTTAAGAAAGCATGTGGAATTCTGATCTGCCTATATGATTGAACATCACTGAGAAAGTCAACTTCTATATAATTTTAGTGTAATAAATCTAGACTATTTATAGTCTTATGTATGAAAAAAATTATCTAATCTGCCTCTACATTGTACTTTTTCAAAACATTTACATACTTCTTGTATTTGTTTGACTTAATACTTTAGGTGAAAATTTTAACATGCTTTCTTTCCTTTTTAACTGAGAAGCAAACTTGAGATGTATCATGTCTAAAATTATTTCAGTTTAAGAAATACTGTTCCACTGAGTCTTTGAGAAACTTTGGCCACTGACCTCCCCAAGAGCAGTGGCCCATATCCTGCCCACTGCAACTTTACCTGTTAGAGATTCTCCACAAGAAACCAGTTAGATGTACTTGTGTAATGCCTTTTGTCTGGATTCTTGGATAGACCCCATGTGGGTTCACATGTAACAGGATGAAATAGAAGGCAGACTGCATAGGCCACATTGAAGCTGCATCACATATTAACATTATTCCTTCAGAAAATTCTACATTAACGTATTTCTATGCTGCTTTCCTGCAGATCTCTCCCACAAAAGGCCACTCAAGGCCAAAGAGGAGACCTTTGCTAACTCAAGTGGCACATCAAAATTAAATTGCTGCTGATGGACACAGCTCCTGCTGGCTTCCCTCATGTTCCCTCAAATATGCAGACTTAGAAATGGGCCCCATGGTCTTTCTATAGCATGTGTAGCCAAATTTCATAAAGTCATCTTAGCAGAAGTGTGCAAGATTATTCCCTTTTGGGGAGTTCTGCAAAAAAGGACAATCTAGAAGTTATTATCCTATTTCTAAATGTAAACTGATATTAAACATGTATTTTGTTCCTACAGACCACTTTCATTGCCTGAAGAAGAATTATGAGCAAGATATGCAGTTTTTTACCCTTCTTATTTCTGGAAGTTAAACACAGAACAGGTAGAACAGCTTTACTGATTTTTAGTGACTGTTGGCATAAAAATTGGTTATATTTCAATCCATTATCTCAATATTTTTTGTTTTATCATCTTGAATAAGTAGCTGGATAGCAATTTAAAAATAGATAGATGTTTGGCATTTGGAAAAAAAATTCTGTCATGTAATGATTGAATGAGACTATAATGTCTGTTAAAATAATAAAAAATCTTTAAGTCTGCTGAGCTGATATGCCTAGCAGCAATGTCATTTCAGTTCTCTCCCTGCTAACTCCTTTATTCATCATCTCTCCTTTTATGCTTAAAAGAAGATCCTTTAAGATCAGAGAATTTAGGTATAAATGGTCTCTGGTCTCATAATTTTGATATTTTCACAGTCAAAATTGAATTTGGACCAACTACTTCATTAATGCCATGGGGGTTTTTGACTGTTACTACCATGTGAATCACTTAAAATTGAATAAAAAAGTGTATCTCTCTTTTACATATGCCAAATTTAATGTGAATTCTTGAAAGTAACTTTGAGGAAAAATCATTACATTTAGTCAATAAAAATTAGGATTCAGTAAGTCAAGTCAGGCAGCAGCAGTGGTTTTCAAACAGTTCTACATTAATGACCAAGATCTCTGCCAAGAACTTCATGATGAATCTTTTGGAATTAAAATGCAAAATAGGATGAGATAAAGAGAAGGTTAAAGAGAACTTGGGTGAGACCTTATCAGGTAAGATTTTTCATTACTCTCCTCTTGTGTAATTTTTACTTTGAGTGCAAATGGATTGTAAAAGTTAATGATTTAAGAACAGCAGAATCCCATTATGAAATCCTGCTCAGTGTTTAAATACAGCTTGAAAGATTAAGAACAGGTGATTCATGCACTATGTGTTGAAAAGTAGATTAATTACTAGTTTTCTGATACATTCTATAAGAATTTGTGAATAAAAGTGCAGGACTCTATTGGTTCTATAGAAAAAATGAAACCATATGTAATTTGTACCATTATACTGACTTGATCATTACTAATGAAAAGTAAAAAAAAAATGGTGTCTCACTAGCTTGTAAAATTTCTCAAATACACACTTCTTCTGAAATCTAGAGCTTGAGAATTGTTAAATAAGAACCTGACTTGGGCCATTAATAAACACTATCTGTTCAATGGTCATATAAGATTTTTACATTGAGAAAGATCGTTTCAATGCTAAATTTTATGGATAGACTTTTAAAACCAAACAATATTCTCCCTTTTTTGAAGTGTTGTGACTGGTTGAAATGTGTGCTTTTTCATAGAGAGAGCCAGACAATACCATTTTTAGCAGTGTTTATTTTTGTAAAAAAAAAAAGAAACCAATGAATTTGAAAGGAAGTCATATCTGTCTTTTGATTGCACACTTTTTAAACAAAAATAATACAAGATGAAGAATGAAAAATACAGGTTTTATGTTGCCATGTCAAAATAACACCTAAGTCTATGAATGTTCAAAATTAAAATATATATACCTAAATGCTAAAATGTCTATTTTACATTATCTACAAAATGTATGTTCTAATTCAGCCCCAAATCATAGGAAAATACTTTGATACATATGAAAAGCTATAAACATAAGGAAATTTTGAAGGGAAACACACATAAAAGCTCATTAAATAATTACAACAACAAATAAATAGTTTGTTCAGCTTTACTTTTTGATTGCTGCCATGCATATTTTAATTTTTGGTATACTGAGATAAGAGAAAGGTGAGCATGCAAAGCACTTTTTTTAGAATTAATCTGAAAGCAGATACACGGTGTTGTATTTTAAGCTGTTGTCAGAAGGTCATAAAACATGATATAAAAGGCAATAGATGTGATAAATGTTCTCAGGAAAACACACAACAAAGCATCATTTTGCAAAATTGACTTCAGTGAATACTCTTGGCAAATTTTCTTTTCTTCCATGGCTGGAGAAATTGTAAAAGTTTATAGTGTGGTTTTGGAAGGCTTGTATTATTCCCCATCTTGAGCATTTGGAAAATCACCCAAAGAGTCCATATGCTGAGAATGCCCCTTTTGATTTTGGTCAAAGCAATAAGCATGTAGTGTCAACTGAGAACACAGCAATGGCAGACTTGTCTTTAAGCAGTCAGAATGGTAAAGCAAATGGTTACAGGTGAGTTCAATTTTGGCACAAGGAGAGGGAGATGAGAGAGCAGGAGATGTTTGATTTCTAACTTGTACTATGCTTGCTGGATTTACTGGCTCTTTTCCTTTCTTTGTGGTGCTGGATGGGTTTTGCTTGAGAGGTCCCCTCGAAGTTGTGGCTGGACTCATTGTGCTGCCTGGTGTATCGCTTGCACTTGCAGGCCGTGACCACAGTTATTTTGTAGGTTCTTATACTTCCATCCTGGCACTGCAGCTGGATCCTCTGAGTGCGAGTTTTGTCGTTGACACATCGCCACTCCTGCGAGCTCCTCCTGCTCCAGTACTTGGTTCCGTAGCCTCCTCCAATCCAGTTGGGCAGCAGTGGCAGAGGGAGGCATTCTCCAGCACACACCAGTTCTTTCAGGGGGTTAATGCTGGTGCACTGGCCATCTGAGATGTACTTGGTGGATCTCAGCTCCCGACACCCAACCTGAACGCGATCTGCGGAATGCACAGAACAAGAAACACTGAGATCAGAATGGAGTGATTTCCTTAGCCAGTCATTTTCACATTAACCAGGTATGTTTTACAGAGTTAAAGCAAGCTGTAATCTTTACAGGACATCTCTTTACTGCTGTGTCCCCCAACACAAGGGCCTCAAGTGCTGATGGTATCTCTGGATAATACCACAGCATAAAGAAATCCTAATGACATGCACTCCAGCAGTTGTGGTAGAAGAGGCAATTTTATTCTCTGTACTTCTTCTCAGGGACATACCTTTTAGAAGAGAAAAAATGCCCCAAGGGAAGAAATGTTTCCTGCTCGTTCTCAGTCTAGGGAATCTGCTCTGTGATGTTTACAACAATTATGTTGGATCATTAGCAAGGGGGAAAACACTGCTTTGGAAACAGTTGAAATGCTTTTAAATTAATTTCAAACAGTGTGTTTCTTCTTGTTCCATTGTTACAGTGGACTGAACTCTCCCATGAACTCTGCGGCTCTGAGCAGACACTGCAGAAGTGGTAACAGCTGAAGTTACCACAGAATGGGGTTCTGCCTATGAAGTTTGAATGATTAGCAGTAACAGTTTCAGAGGGGTGCTTTTGCCCTCAAGAGAACACCATCTTTGTAACTGTAGTAGTCTGTATATTATATGTAACATAGAGAATCCTGCAAATTCTCTCAGGCAGCTGACAGAGCCAACATGCAGAGCTTCTCACACAGGCATGTTTGTACCCGTCTCTGTGTGCGGCTCTGCACCCTGCAATAAACACAACTGTTTATTTCAGTAATTATACTTTGAAATAAACGCCCACAGTGTGCTTAATTTTAATAAGCAATCTTTACTGTCTGTGCTCTCCCTCTTTCCGAAGGACAATTACGGCACCGATTCTACACACAATGCAATTAACTAACGCTTTTAAAATAGAAGTAATTACTAGAAACATTTCAGAATGAATCATAAAAGGCTTTGAAGGTGCATCTACATATCACAGCTACAGGCTGCTTCTGTTTCTACTTGGATTTTTGGAAGCAAGTTCTAAACTGAGGCACTGCATTAAGATTGCTTCACCCTGTCCTCTGTGTCTCAGGGTGGGCAGGAAGAGGGGACTGTAAATCTGCAGGCTGATCCCAGGGAATATTGACAGGGCTGCTCTACCTCCTGCTTTGCAGAAAAGATCCAAGCTTGCCTTCCTGCAGCTGCACTCAGGAATGTACCTGGAAGCATCTGGTCACAGATCTGAGTTTGTCTTTCCTTCTGTTTTTCTGTCTTCCCCTGCTCAGCTTTTCACCAGTGACAGCTCAGTGACAATGAATACCTACTGGGCTGTCCCAGTAATCTCATAATGATGAGATGTTTCCTGTGCATTAAAACCCTCTAGCATTCATAAAAGCTGACACACCTGGCTTAGCTGAAAGGTATCGGTGTCACTTGTTGCCTTCACTTTCCAGGGATGACTCTATTTTTATCAAGTTGCTGTGAGTGGGTTGGTGTGTGTGTATGTTTCTCTATCTGGATTTCTTTCATTTTAAGGAGGTGTGCAGGGTAGGGAACAGATAAAGTCAGCAGGTTTCCACATCCCCACATATCTGACTTATATACATAAAACTCAGAAGGAAAAGACTGGATATAAAAAAGGCAAGTTAGAGCAGAGATCATAGGTAAATTACGAGCTGATTTGTTTACTTTTGCTGGAGGTGTTAAGCGGGTAAGTGCTACGGCAGGAAGTAAAACTAAACAGCTGGAACAAAATTCAGAGTTTTTTTATTGCACTTGAAAAGTAGCCCAGACACCTCCCCTGCCCGCAGTGGGAGGTGAGTCAAAAAAGCGAGCGCTCTGGAAATGCCTCTCTCTCCTTTTTCTTTATCTCGCTTCCCTGCCGGATAGATGCCATAGAGCCCGGCGTTCCTGGATGAGTCTCGCTCAGGAAGTAACCTGCCCGAGCGAGCCGGTCCTACAGGACTTCCCGGCACGGGGGTGGCAGGGCGGCTGGCTCGGCGCCGCCCGGCGGGGCAGATCCCGGTCCGGCACCGGCACCGGCACCGGCAGCATCTCCCGCGCCCGGCCCCGCTCCTGGAGCGCCGCGCTCGGGCCGGGGCCGGGGCGCGGCCGGGGGTGCGCGGCTCCGGCCGGGGCTCGCTGCCCTGCCGGGGCCGGCCCGGGCGGGGCTGCCGCCCACGGCCGCGGTGGGATACTCACTGTTACGGTCGGATCCGGCGCTGCTGTAGTGCCTGCCTCCGTTCCTGGCTTGATTCAATGTGCTGTTGCTACTTGGGCTCGCCGCAGCGGGTTTAACGACGTGAGAATAAAGTATCTCTGTGGCATCGTTCTTGAAAGCCAAGTAGCTTCTCGTGGAGATGCAAGCCAGGAGAAAGCCGTAGAAGTGAATGGCAGGGAGAAGCATGGCTGGTTCAGGCTGTCTGACAAAGCTGGATGAAATCTTTTCCTTCTGCTCCTTCTGTGTAACTGAAATTGCTCTTGCAGGTTTCCTTTATATATTCAGAGAGGTTTGGCATTCATTCAGGTGTAAAGTTGTGGATAGCTTCAGAATGAAAACCCACAAAAGGGGTGGGGTCCCTACATGAGCTGCGAAGACCTTTCACCAATAGGAGAGAAGACTGCAGCAAAGGAGGAGTTAGATGCACTAATTGCAGGATTCCTATTTGGGGCTTTTGAGGGTATCAGAAAACTCTTAGGAACCGGCACACAGCAGCATTCAGGCTGAGACCTAGAGACTGCCGGCTCTGCCCTGCCATTCCCTGTGGTCCTGCATGCCCTGGCACTGTGGCATAATGTGACTAACACGGTGTCAGAATGAGTCTGTCCTGCCCAGCTCATGCAAAGTTATGTACCCTCTTCTCAAACTCAGCTGAGCTTTATGTGGATGCAAATTTATAGAACTTACAGAAGACTGCTAGTTACACAAATACTGTCTGCAATATTCCAAAATTATTTTTTAAAAAATATTGTGAATAATTTAAGGCTGCCTCTAGATGCTTTAAATTATGCAGCTTTGATCAACAGGGAGTACTGCAAGGGAAATTACTTGGTTTAGGGGAATATTCTCTCCCTGGTGTGCAGAGTTATAAGTCTGTATTTCTGTATCACTACAGATAAAAAGTGTCTCCTCTAGGCTCCTTAGTACAAAAGTATCCATATTCATAGCCTCACACCATGCTCCTTCACTAAACTAGTCTTTTTTAGTTTTTTTACATTGCCTAGAGCATTCTTATATTTTAATGTATTATTTCATGTGATAAAGGAAACAAAGAGAAAACATGTAAATCTATTTTGGTTTTCAAAATTTTGGAAGAATAATCCTTACTTTGGCATAATTTTTTGTTGTGGCATGCACTTGATTTTACATAAAATTGCATAGCCCAGATCCAAACGCCAGTGAGATAAACTGAGATATTGCCAGTAGGCCAATGCTTGTCTGCATCATGGTGAATGGTCCATAGACTTTCAAAGTAAATAAAACACCAGTGATCAACACTGAAAACTCTAGTGTTCTAACTGGAAAGGAAATCCTTTTCTTGGGAAAAAGCACAGCCTTGCAGAAGGCCATATTATGTAAAGATTATACTGTAATCTCATTTACACTCTCTGTAACTGAGTTGGTATCTAAAGTCACACTGAATTTTATTGCTGTAATAAAATCATAAGTGGAACACAGGTTAGTTCCATCTATTGCCCGGATCAAAATCTGTCATTCAGAGAAGACAACTTTGTTTCACCCTAGTCACAAGCAGACATTTGTCTATTTTAGCAACACTTTCCTTTTGCATCACTAAGAAAGTTATCCTGGATTTCAGCAGGAGTAAGGACACATCCTTAGTGAGTGCCAAACTGATAGCTGCTGCTTAAAGGACACAGGAAGAACAGGAGTGTTGCAAGGTGAAGTGAGTTTTACTGGCAGAGCTGCATGTGGGGAAGTTGAGTTGATTGCCTGCATCTATTATGACTAGCCCAACCCAGTTCTGGAATAACAAGAATGTTGCAAGGCAGAGTGAGATCTTTCATCAGGGTAATGTATGGAGGAGTGGGATCACTGCTAACCCCTTACAAAATGCCACGTTCCACTCTCATGGAGAATCTAATCTAACCCCAAACCCCAAAAGCAAAGATGTCCATTTTACCTTCCCTTAAAAAAAGTTTTCTTAAGCAAATAATCAAAAAAGAAATGTACATTGCAGATCATTAATATTTGAGCTTTTTTTTCAACAGCAGTGAACCTTGTAGATGTTGAAGTCCTACTTAATTTTTTTTTTTTCAAAATTCACAGATCGTAGAGATTTTTACACATCTCACCTACCCTGAAGGTAGTCTCTGTGCTGAACTGAGCCACTGTAATTAAAAGCATGGAACCAGTTTTCCAGTTATCCACAGTACCTGTGTATACCAGTCAGGATATCTCTAGTAGAGAGATTTTCCCACATTAGACAAGTCTTTAAAAAGTCAGAGGTTACCTTGAGACCTGTTTTCTTTGAAATAAGTTCTATAATCTTCTCACAGGGAAAATGAATGGGACTTTGGAGTCGTTATAGGGCTGGGTCTACAAGGAGCTTGCTGGGCCTCAACCTTTTCAGCTTTCAATGAAAGCTTTCAATGACAGCATCCTTTCAAATTTAGTCTAGATTAAACCATTAGGTTTGTCAGGTACATGTCTTGGTCTTGTCACTTAGAGAAGGAAGATCTCAAGAAAAGCCTCTTACTGCCTTTTTAAAGGAAAAGTTTGGCCCTGAACTTGCCACAGAAAGATAATGCAGGTTACCTCATTTTTCTGTGCACTAGACACAGAGTAGACATTGTTTTAATTTTATTTATGTTTTCCACTTGTTACATATATTGCATGAAAATATTGTGATTTCAGTTTCATGGTCAGTAGTGTCAGCTTCCCTGCTTTGCTTCTGAGGAGTTTGTCAGTTAGTTTGTCATTCTTTCTTTATCAAACCTAGAGCTTGCAGTCTTTCACTTTTTCTGAGTCTCCCTGAGAGAGATTAGAAGTTGCTTGAAGGAATTCTGATCAGATAAATTTGGGTATTCTTCTTCAGTGAACTTCAGAATAAAAAGGCATTTCTTAAGTCAGAATGAGTTTCTAGACTTAAAATACATTTTGCTATCATTAGTTAAATGTTGTGAAAAGTGAAGGCTCTAAGTTATCCTCATAGCCTCCAAAACAGACATATAGTGTATAGTCTGTTCCCATTCTAGTCAGATTTGATGGCTTGTGTCGAACATTGCTCTGCTTAATCTGTAATATTGGCCATAAGGAATATATTACACAAGGTCTTTGAAGTCTATGCTGGCTTCCTTTTTGCCCCTGGGCATAACTCAGGATGTTCTTATTGATCTATAAAACTCTATGAGCTTTGAGTCCTAGGCAGTAAATTCTCTCTCCTTTATCTTCCATTATCATGCTTAAGATTAGCTGGGGCATACTGACTATACCTGAGTGTCTGGAGAGGTTGAGTGCTCAGTGTGAAGGGTACAGGAGTCTGGGTTTCACTGTTCCCAAGGATTCAAGAGAGCTTCATTCTGCTGCTTGGCATAGTGCAAAAGACCCTTGTTTATTCAGGTACTTGAAAAGTGACTGTGGGGAAGACACAGAGCAGAAACCCATTAACCAGATTAATTTAAATGCTTGTACATGTAGCCAGGGATAAAGTGCTACATTTAACTAAACGCTTTTTCAACTTATCTGCTCCTCCTGTATTAACAGCTTTGCTTCTGAGTCAACCTAAAAAGAGTGGTAAAGCCATCCATCACTCTTCAGAGAGAATGGTATCCAGAGTTATCTGCACCTTAAATCTTGCTTTTTGCATTTTCTGTGATGGAGAAACCACATTCTCTCAATGGATGTGGAATAATATAAGGCATACGTTCCGTAATGATCCCAGAAGAGAATTCCCTTCTTCATGGTCATTTATAAGTCTGTCAGGATCCCATTCTCCATGTTTCTTAGAAACTCTAATGATGTCCAAAGGGCAAAGTTTTGTGCAGAGTGCACACACCTGTCTAGCAGCACAAAACAGCCACAGGGAATAGAAGAGTATGCACTGACAAGTACAAATGACTGCCAGAGAGACTTGCAAACCACATGATCACAGAATGTTCACAAAATAAAGAGAAGGAATCCTCAATTTTTCATAAAACTTAGGCCTGCCCAATTTTAATAACGACAGAATAGGGCCAGAATTGGAATGAAGGTGTCTTGGAAAGAAAGGTTCAAAATTTGTGTTTATATTTTTCTTGTTAGTTCCAAGAAGAAGACCACTGCACTTTTGACTTGTTTTGAAGCCAGATACTTTGAGAGTAAGCCCAGGCTCAGATAAATGATTGCAAAAAATAAGCTGACATTTATTACTTTGCAGCTTAAAACAGAAAGGACTGTCAGGATATTTTCTGTTAAGCAATAAGTATATTAGTAATGTACTTCAAAGCTGCCTAAAATGTGATTTGGAGCTTGATAAGAGAACTTGTCTTAAAGTGAGGTAGAACTGTAATAAATGCAACTGTTGAGAACTTGTAAGCTGTTGTGCAACGTTAGCATAGTTTTAAAGCTCATACAGAAAACATGTTAGAGAACCAAGATACCTTCCCATGCTGCAAATTCTAAAACCAAATATTTTTTGGATACTGAGGTTTTTCTATACTGACACTTCTAAATTTTCTCAGTAAATTACATTTGAGAGATTCAATGGAAAACATAACATATATTCTCATTAATAAGAATTTCTAATTAGTTCTGATTTATGTCTTCTTCATCTCCCTGAATGCCATATTACAATTTCTTTTTTCTGCTTGCTCTTATACATAATGTAGACAAAATAATTTAGGTCAGGCTGTGGCTTCAAAGGAGGTAAATTATACTTTTATCAAAAAAGACATTAAATAGACTGAAAGGGGGGATTTTTAATTTTTTTTTTATTCTAGGAAAATTTACAGTAGAGTGAAAAATCCTTCTTGAACATTTGCAGTAAGATTTTAAGACAAGTTTGAAGACAATGTGGCTTATCATCCAAACCATATTTTATGATTTCTGCGTGTGTTGAAGAAGAAAAATTACCAAAACATTTTACAAATTAAAAAATAATGAGAATAACAGCCTGTTCATTGGTGATAACATTTCAGAAAATCTTAGATGACACTGAAATGTACCACTTTTCTTTTAAAGAAATTTAGGAGAGGAAAGGTGGAATTTATTTTTTTACCACACATAGACACTGAAGTGAACTGGACTTTGGTATCTACATATTTTGTAAAGTGTTGCCCTAAGGAGTGAAAGTCCTATTGATTTTCAGTGAGCCAGTCACTTAAATGCTTTTGAAAATTTTACCCTCAGGTTAAAATTCTGAAACTCCTACTCAGTGTTAAACAGGCAAAGTCCCATCAGCATGCCTCAGTTGCAAATAAACCAGAAACTGAGAAAAGGTTTTGAAGTCTGACTTGTTTCTTTATGTGTAATTAACTGAACTCTTACTATATCACTATGTTTCAGTAAACTGCTTTGTGTTTCTAATTATGTGGTCTGAAATGATTACAGTGTATTTAAAAAATGCACACTCTGCTACAAACCAGCAAAAAAAATCTGGCACGGTGTCAGGATTTCCAAGGCAAACACTTGCCAAACCTGTTGTTAGATCCAAAGTCATAATTTAAAAACAAGCCTACAAGCTATCTGGAAGAAGATCCCTCTTTCCTTCCTTCTGCTCCATCTCCCACTCCCTTTACAAGGAAATCACTTTAGGTT